TGACAGGAGAGGTCTGCTGGCTTGCGGCAGGGCAGGCACGGGCCCACCACGGCAGGGCCGGCACAGCCAGACGGGCTCAAGGCTGCACGCCCGAGCCCTCAAGCGCTGCCTGAACTCGCAACTCCCTCCCCGCTCCTGGGAGGAGTCCCCGTTGTTTCTACCCTGTGGCAGCAGTGAAGGTTTGAAGTTCCAAAACTACCAGCAGAAGCATCAACAGCGTTAAGTGTCCAAGGACTGTTTATTTTTCCAGATGACTCAGTACACCCTTCTTCGCCAGGAAGTATTCCTTGGCACATTAAGGTGTGTCACAAGCTAAGAAACTCCGTATGATTGATTATTTGGTATGAAGCACCCTGTTAGGAACTGAGTAAACAGGGGGGGATGCTTCCAACCAGCAGGAAGGTTCGGGGTGGAGGGAAGAGAAGAATGCCTCTGTGACACAGAGGACAGCATTCATGGGTGCAAGCAGGTGCACAAAGAGTGAATCACACCTTCAGCTATCGTAACATGCCCCTTCCCCTTCTAGAAACCAACAGCCAACAGTTTGTGTCTGTCTCCAAGTGCTCCTCAACCAGACCCAGCCCTGACTTGCTCCCTCTGTGGCTATGAACTTGATCTTCTCCGCCCTCACTTTTCCCCTCTGCGGAGCAGCTCGTTACTAAACTGAACTCCAAATGGCACAGAAGCCACTCACTCTGCCACACGAACGCCCAGAGCTGGTGGCAGAGTTGAAGAGCTGCTCCAAAACGATGACAGCCACCGGCCCCAGCACCTTTCTCCTTCCCAGGCCTGGTGCTGCCTCGCACCAGCAGGCCTTAAAGAGGCTCAGAGGAGGCCGCACTTTGCCCAGGGGACGCGCGTGACCCGAGTTTGCTTCCGAAGGCGGCTCTCCCCAGGTTATCACGTTTCAGTGCTCGAAGGCATGCGGAAGGAGTACCCCCCAGAACCCTCAAGCACAGGAAAATTTGCAGGAATTCCCAGAAGTCTGCTGTCGGTATTGCCCAACTGATACAGGAGTGCACCCTACCACTCCCCGGACAGACAAACCACCACCACCGCTTAGTACTTAAGTCACTAACAGACTCCTGACCAAGGAATTATCTTGGAAGGGACTTTTGGAGGTCATCTAGTCCAACCTCCTGCCCAAGCAGGATTAATTTCCAAGTTGTTCATGCTAGGCAAGAGCAGTATTTAAACGGACACTACCCTAAAACAGAAGGCCCAACACAAAGACAACTATTGATGTAACGTCAGCCACACGTAGCTGCAGCAGAGCAGCGATAAAGAACTGTGCAGAGAAACCTCTCTCCCAGTTCCTACCCCCATGCCCCCAAACTCTAGCCGTGGCTCTATCTCACGGTTAGAGAGACTAATTTCTTAAAACCAGAATCACAGAGACACTTTGCTCCTCTCCACTCCACACAACTTGTTAAAAGTTATCACAGACCTCAGGCAGAGCTCGGAATAAGATTCAGAAAGGGGGGAGGAGTTTGTTGATCAAATATTCACTAAAATGACCCAATTTGTACTTCACTGAATAAGTCTGAGCACGCAATAAGCTCCTGCAGCAAACACTCCCTTCTCAAGAGCTCTTCAGCCTTACCCCATCCAACACAACAGACCGACACCAAATTCCAACACCACACCACAAAGAAACTCTTCACCAGTCATAAACCTCTGGACGTTATTTGCCCGCTGCACCATTTTCAAGGGCCACACCAAAGCGACCACCTCCACCGTTTTTCCTTTAAAGAATTAACATATTTCCTGCAATCTTGGAGCGGTTTTTCAATGAAGGAACTCTGGAAAATTTCATCCCAGCTAACAGAAGCAGGCCACACAATATTTTCATCAAACATATGCAAACACACCAGCAAACCACCTCAGGGAGCCGATACAAACCAAGGACAGCTTCCAGATACGGAGGGCAGGATTACACCCTCCCTTTGAACCAACGTCAGGGCACAGGGTACCACGAAAGCACCCTGTGTCGCCCCAGCACACGCTTCTATCACCTCCCTTATGCCGGCTCTAGCACTCAGGTCACTCAGTCGCAGTTTTCAGCTAGATCAGTTCCCTGATCTGACTGAATGCTGGTGCGAGGGAACGTGGCAAAACCAAAGACTGGGACTTCTCCTTCCCCTGCCAACCCAGACTTCTATCACGACGGTATCTCTGGAGAAACACCAGGGGATTTGGGCAAAAGACAGAGAAAGGATCTCTCATTTCAGCAAAAATACCGATGTGCTGAACAAGCACGGTCTGTATGAACCTGCACTACCAGCACAGCCGCGGGAGCGCTAAAAAGGTTTGCCTCTGAGCACTCAGGACGACAGCACAAGGGCTCTGAGCAAGGTTTTATCAGTCAAGGTGCCATTCTTACCCTGCATCCTAGAGTAAACGTGATTTTAAATAGTGCTGTTACCCAGCAGTCCAGTACTGCTTTCCTTTTTAACCACAAGGTTTGGAAATGACACCTGCTCCCTATATTCCCAGGATCTGTAGTTCCACAACCATTCAGCTATTTCTTTTCCTTCTTTCTGCTAGTAACTCGTCCACACAAACAGGCCCCAGAGACAAAAAACCAATGGATGTTGCAAAGCACACGCTGAGGCCTTACTACCCAAGGCCCACTGTCAAACACACCAAATAAAACGGGGAAAAATACTCTTAACAGTAGTAACCTGACCTGCCCGGTCAAACAGTGGGGGCCAGCATCCCCTTTATTCTTCTCAGAGACCAAACAGACATGCCCTGGGCCCCACGAAGGTTGGAACTGCATCTGTCATCCCTCACGAAAAGGCAGGACATGAATCCAAGACAATACGTGCGATGCAAATACCCAAACCCCTACTCTGCCACTGCGGGTTTATTTATAGCCCGTCTGCCAGGGCGAGCTACAAGAGCCAACTGCGAGCGACGGGACTCGATCCATTCACAGCTCTCCTCATGAAGGAAACAATGTGATTAAGGGCTTGTGTGTGTTAAAAGTACACAAGATATTCATTACCCAGACATAATTGCTTTTACATTAACGACAGCCAGAAAGGCCAGGATTCACAAAGAGGAATTAAGTCTTTTCCAATTCCATTTATGAATAGGATTAGCTATTAAACAGGGTATTTATTGATCCAAGTGA